TGCTTATGGTCCTGTGGAGACTTCATTTTTGGGTCTACAGACTAGAAAATTCAAGTGGCAGAGAGAATACCAGTTTTTGTCTCTGACCACTTGCTACTGAGGATGGTGCTGCAAGTGGAGAGTAAGGAACAACAGAGGGCAGTGGAAGATAAATACAAGACTACTTGAAGAAGAACAAGTGTGCAGATGGTATAGAAGTCACTATATATAATGGGGAGCAATGAAACACATAAGCAGAGTGAGACGGCAGGAAGTTGATAAAGAATGAGAGCCTTTTTTCAGAATGTGGATAAAAGAATGGCCTGGGAAAAGTGCAAGAGGTTAACAAGATTGCAGTAGAGACTGCCACATCTCCTATGACTGGCAGAGAAGGGATTTCTGGTAACCAAGGAAATTAGAGACATGAAGAACCTACAGGAATAGTTTAGGGAAAAAGGACAGCTTCCTTGCAAAGGCTGTTTGGGTGGAGAAAGGAAAAAGAATGATTCTCTTACTTTGCCCAGAGAAGGAAAAAAAGTATTACAGCAGCATAGGATGGAAGGAGAGTGCAACTAACAGAGACATAAGAGATACTGAGCACAGTGAAGGAGTTTTACCAGAATTCATACTCCAGCAGAGTGTTGCATGGGCAAGCCCTTGACTCCTTTCTGGTGGGGTTAGAGGGAAGCCTGGAGGAAAGTGAGATATCAGCTGGAGAAGGCATGGACATTGGAAGAACTATGGGAGGAAACCCAAACCTTCAAGACAAGGAAGGTCCTAGGGAATGACAGTCTCCCTTTCACCCCCAGACTTACCAGATGGATACTGCTGGGCTCCTAGTCCTGCCCATGTGCATGCTGCAGCTGTGCATTTATCGGCTACGTTATTGGCCACATCAGCCAAAAAAGCTGATTGCCGATAATGTCAACTTTCCTGATATATGGACCAATGTATCAGAGCACCTCTAGTAACTACAACACTGCTACTAATAAGAGATGCAATTTGGTACTGTCAAGAATGAGGACTGCATGTGGTACTCCTGAATCTTGATTTTAAAAAAGGATATGACTGGGGGAGCCTGATTTCCTGTTTGGCAGTATGAACAAGATGGGGGTTCCACCAAGGTTTCTAAGGTTGATCAAGACTTTATACAAAGAAGCACAGTGTCAGGTAGAAGTGAATGGTTTCCTAACTGAGGAAGTCAAGGTCAGATCAAGCATGAGACAGGAGTGCCCCCTGTCACCACTTCTATTCATCTGCACCATCAAGCTACTGGCATAGAGGAACAGGACAGATCACATGATCAAGGGCATGCCAGTACCCAGGGGAAGGGCATGCAGACAAAATGCATGTTGTACATGCACAATGTTAATATCTTAGCAAAAGACAGCATGTCCCTAGACAAGCAATGACACATACAAATAAATATGAAAGGCATCATTTTGTAAAGATACGAAAAAGTAAGTGCCTGGTGGTGGGGAAGAGGGAAGGAACAGGAAAAGTGGAGTTACAGGTCACAACGGATACCCAATCAAGATATTGGGAGTGGAGGTAGATGGGCAACTGACAGGTGAAGCGACCTGCGAGAAGGTGAAAGAAAAGGTGAAACAAAAACTGGGGTGCTGGTATAAATGCAAGCTGTTACTGGAAGGATGGCTAAATATTATTAAGAAGGTTGTACTCCCAATCATACTGTATGTAGGTGTGGTGTTGTCATGGACCCGCCCTATGTAGGATCCAGTGTAGTTCCATGTGGGAACTAATGGTGTTCTTTTGGAAAGCCAAAAGGGAAAGGCTTAGGAGAACAATACTATAAAAGGCAAAATTGAATGGAGGATGGGGCTTCCCAGATGTGTTTCTGTTTGTTTATGCAAAGTTTGTCAGTCTAAGCTGCACAGAAAGGATAAGAGGGGGCATCAAATAAGCTGGGTTTGTCTGGTACTACACAGGGATATAAATATAATGTATGTAAAAAGTCACTCTCATGACCCTGAGCCTGGATAATGCTGCCAACATATGAAAAGATTGTAAAATTTGTGAATTGGTTAGAAGATGTAGACAATAACCACAACAAAGTTAGTGGACCATAAAAGTCATGGGTCAGGTAAAAGGAGACTGCATCCCCAGTGGGGAGGTTCATACGGGAAGAAGCATGAACAATTTGGAAGGGGTTGTTTAACAAAAAGCTTTCAGAAGTAGTGCAATGACTTTGGTTGGCTGCTAGCACGTCACATTGTAGCAGTAGGAGTGCTCCATTACAGTTGGGGACTGTATAGAACAGCTGAATGCCCCAAACACACTGTGAGGAAAACATGGTATGTGGTATGGGAGTATCAGTTCACCAGAACGGTTTGGGGAAGGCAGAGAAACTCCTACAGTAACTGGGTGCTAAAACCCAACTCACGCTACAAGCAGTTCTGTGTGGAATATGGTCCCGGGGCCCAGAGGAAGGATGCAGAAAACGTATGAAAAGCTGTAGTGAGCTTTCGCATGGCATTGTGGAAGGCAGGCTCTCTAGTCTTGCAACTGGAACTCTCTGGAGAAGATACCTTGCATTAGGGCTTGAGCAAACGGATGGTATTGCTGGTGGGACACAAGAAAACTAGGTAAGGGGAAAGCAGTGGCTTTATGGAAAAGAGAAGCATGGACACACCTAGTAGATCTAGGACAGGGGTGACCAATAGGGCTGTGTGAAATTTCACTGGCTGTTTCGTTTCAACACTGTTTTGACTCATTTCGAGTTCAAAACAGCAAAATTGAAATGAAGGGCTTTGAAACAGCCTCAAAATGAAACAAGGGCAGTTGAAATGTGTCGAGTTTCAAAGCTGAAGCTGGGCCTGCCTGCAGGGAAACAGAAAGTAAGCAGAGAGAGGGGGAAGAGGGAGGAAGGACACAGTGAAAGCGTACCTGAACACACACGCTGGAGAAGAAGCTCCTGCAGGAGAAGAAAGAAAGGCTCTCTCACAGTTTGGCTGCCTGAGATGCTGCTGGTACTACTGTGCTGCTCATCACTAAGTTATTATTTTACGTGTTGCCATGTAAAGTGGTGGGCTGGAAGGTTGTAGGGGAGGAGGAGGCCTCATTGGGGCACACTACCATGTTGTGTAGGGGCTCCAGCGCCAGTCAGGGTATGCCTTAACACCACCCCCCCCACACCCCCACCACAAGTTTTGCTTGTCGGCAGCTTGAGGTGCAGTTTCCCAAAACCCCCTGCACCTATCTCCTTGAAACTTGGCAGGCTTCATGCCCTCAGAAGAAGCTACCATCCCTACTGTTTTCATCCAAATCTGCCAAAAAATGACAGTTATAGGTAGTTTCATGCTTCTCCATCATAGCCTATGGGTAAAATGTTGAAACAGTGCCAAAACAGTTTCAATGAAATGGAAGAGAACAGTGCTTTGAAATGACACAAAACTTGAAATGTTGTCCTGTGGAAACGGCCAAGTGGAAGCCGAAACGAAATAGTGCTGTTTGACACAGCCTTAGTGACCATCCTGTGGCTCTGGAGCCACATGCGGCTCTTCAGAAGTTAATATACGTCTCTCCTTGAATCTTTGCACAAGCACACAGTGACCAGCTTCCATTTGAGACGCAAATTTTTTGGAAGCTGGTCACTGTGTGCTTGTGCAAAGATTTGAGGTGATGCATATCAACTCCTGAAGAGTCGCATGTGGCTCTGAAGCCACAGGTTGGCCACCCCAATCTAGGAGGATGAAATGATGATGAGGCTTGAGATGTGGCAGAACTATAGCTGCAGACCAGGGGCCAGCTAGGAAAAAGGCATGCTAGGGGCTAAGACAGGACATATATGGGACAGGGGGTGATATGCATTAATAGATGAGCTCGGAGGATGACAGGGAATAATATGGTATTAAGAAACAAAAGTGTCCAGGCCCCTGGATTAATGGGAATTTGGGGAAGGAGGGCATTGCTGGATAATATATAAATGTTCTATTGTTTTGTCTGTCCTTTTTGTTGAAGTTTTAGAAGCTGATGGAAGCATGTTCTCCTTTTGATACTTCATTGTTTTGTTGGCCTGAAACTGTTGTAGACTTTCATAATAATTTATTTTAAAAAGGTTCCCATCAGCATGTTAGCCCAATTATGAGTCGTGTTTTATAGTCATGCACAGTGGTGGCTGCATTTAATGAATTTCATAGTTGGTTTCCATTACTGAGCATGTGCTGCTTCTGGCAGAAGTTTAATGATAGGCAGTATAGTTAATGAGGTGTCCTTGTATGCAAATGTAAGACGAGGAGCTTTTCCCCCCATGCTGATTGGGGGAAAAAGACTGCTTTTATTTGAGTGAATAAAGATTATTTCCAAGTAGGAATTTTCAGTACATCCTTTTTTAAAGTATTCCTGCGTCTGTTCAGTAAGCGCACACATGCTTTTCTCAAGAAACCATCATTTGGTGCTGATGTTCTGTTAAGCTCTTGTCTGGTATCTGATCTTTGGCTGTCTAATGCTGGCACTTGGTATCTTGACTGGTATATGACTGGCATCTGATCTGTGGTCAGTTAATGATAACTATACTTTCCATCAACATTGCTTATTTTTCATACATCCTCTCTTTTTAGTCTAATAAGATAATAAAGAGGGAATAATCTGCACCACAGTCTGTTTTGACTTCTTGCTATTCAGAGGTGTTATGAAAGGCAAGAAGAAACTGGGATATCAGTAAATGTAGGTTTTGCTCCAGACTGCCATTTGGTTGCTACGTGACTTTGGGTATTCTTTGTCTCAGTTTCCTTAAGTGTAGGAGAAGGAAAGTAAAACCTAGCATTGCAAAATGCAGATATGCAGCACTTTTTGCCAGAAGAAGTACAAAAGATACATGGTCAGGGGTTCAACACAATATACCAAACCCAAAGGGGTCCCTACGCTTTCACACTGGATCAAAATTTTACAGTTTGAACCTTCTGGTCTTTTTTTATAGACTCCCCAGGACTGGTAGGATCTGGGTGACATAATCATTTTCCTTTATTCACAAAGCAGTTGCTGAGTCTCATTCAGCGTGAATGTGTTTTATACACGCATGTCTTTATAAACAGCATTATAATTTGCTGCATTTAGAGGAGATAAAAGTATGTGAAGAAATAGAAGAAAATGTCAACTATTAAAATATGTCCTTGATGAACCCAATGCATTCTGATTTTTTTTAATTAAACAGCCTTACTGACTAGTTCTACATTTATAAGATCACAACTATTTGCCAATGGGCTAAAATCTCTGTGAGATTCTTACCTCAGTAAAACGAAGAATTTTGTCTTTGTAAACAGTCTCCAAAGTTGGTAGCGCACATTAAGTGCCATATAAATGACACATAAGAAAACAGTATAGAATATAAAATGTAAAGTAAAATGGGGCAGTAGTGTTTTATTGAGCTGCTATTTTAAGAAAAGCTATGTCATATCCCTCCACTGGGGGAAAAAAATCTTTTTCGTTCTTTCTCCTCACCTCAGGTGTCTGACTTCTAACACCTTAATCGCTATAAACTACACTTCAGCTCGGTAATAAGTGCACCGCATTCCTGCCTTTAGTTGCTTCCATCTCTTCCTTCCCCCTGCTCTTTCCCGACAGGATGCCCAGAGAAGACTTCTCACCTCCGGCCGGCGCCCAACCCCGCGCATTGCCCTCCTTGGGCCCCGCGGGAGCTCGTCCCTGGGGAGCTTCGCAGGGGTCCTGCTGACGCGCAAGTGAGGCCGGCGGCCAGGGGCTGCCCCGTGCCCTGCTCCCTGCCCCAAGCCTCTTCCTCTAGGAAGGCTGACGCGCCCGGGTGTCCGAGCATCCCCTGCCGAGACCAGGACCGGCGGGCGGCGAGCAGAGGCGGCACATCCGCAGCGCCCCCATGTCCCGCTAGCAGCGGGCGGCGCCCGGCTCCGCGCCCTCCCCTCCGGGGGCTCCGCGCCGCAGCCGGGCGGGG